TCAGTATAATAAATTAGTATTTTCCTATATGCAGTACTGACACATATTTCCTTCTGTACCACATGGTATCAGCAACTCTTCTTTCCACAGGAAATGGATAAGCTGAAAATTTTAACATGTTTTCATGGACTTTTATAATATCTGGAGTTTTGAGGAGACTTTACTACAAGCATTGGATTCCCATAGGTGCTTGTGAATCCCCCACCTTCATCCTGGTGCCAGACTACGGTAGAAAACCAGAACTGCATAACACTCAGCTTCAGAGGCAGTTTGCTTAGACACTTAGCTAGCAGAGAGGCAGCATGTGCTTACTGGCAAACTATTGGATGTGTCTCAAAAGGAGGAGAGAAGCTGTAAAGAGGTGTATTGAAATAGGAGGGGAAGGATGGATTGGAGTACAAGTCCTGCTACAGTAGGGAACAGGGGAAGTTTAGAGTACTAGGAAGCAGTGTTATTAAGCTGTAGTCTTTATAAAGCCCTGGAAAAGTATAAAGATTATGTAAGACCATCATAGCACTACATGCTGTGTAGTGATCTCACAGAATCATAGCATCATAGACCCGCTCAGGTTCAAAGGGACCTCGAAAGATCAGCTGGTCCAACCTTTCATGGGAAAGGGAGCCTAAATGATATTATCTATCATACTGTCCAGTTGCACCACAGGGTACACACTAGCCTGTGGGAAGGCTCAGTCCTCCCCCTCCCACAGCCCACATACCTCCACCAGCAGCTGTCTGATGACTGTGTCCTTCCGTCCCTTCTCAGGGGTCTCCACAATGGCGTTCCCACAGGGCTGCTGGTTCTGCAGGGCCTCAGTGCTCACCGAGAACTCCACCTGCCCTGGAGGAAACAGGGGTCAGCCAGCTCTGCCAGGCAGTGCCAGGCGCTGGGAGTCACTGCCATGTCTAGGAATTTCAACTTGCAGACCCATGAATAGGGATTTTTTTCATCACACCTGGGCCCTGTTTCTTTCCCACAAGAACTTAGCTCTCTGTATCAGAAGCCATCCTGGAGCAGATGAGCTGCACTGCCATTGAAAGGTGATTCTATTTTGGTGATGGTTTTCCAGTACCTAGGACACCACAGTGGAGGGACACTCCAGCCCCACCACTGTTCAGCACACTGCTACCCTGCATGCACACCACAGCTGCTACCACAGCACGTAACAATAGTGAAAACAAAGTATGAAGATCTCATGGGGCAATTACCTAATCCTTGGCAGGGATGGAGCTGACAGAGCATTGATGCTGGCAAGCAATGTCTCTGTCTTCAGAAGATGTTGTCGAAGGGCTATAAGGCTTGATGGTACTACATGTGGTGCCAGACACAGCCTTGAACACTATATAACCCCGGATGAGACAGACATTGAGCTGCAGTGCTTCCCTGGAAACTATGTTGCTCTAGCACCTGATACTGCACAGGGAGGAAAGCACAGAGAAATCCTCCCTGCAGTTTTCAGCACCCTGAGACCTTTACCTAGAGATTTAGGAGTCACCAGCCAAGCCACAGTTTTCCTCCCACTCTCACAGAGACAATGAGATTCTTCCTCTTCCACTAGAGTAGCCACAAAATGAGCAGAGTGAGCCAGAGTCACACTGACCTGCCAGTTGTAGAGAGAGTCACAGTCAGGGAAGGGTGATCGTGAGGTATAGGCAGCTAAGAAGCAATAGCTATTTCTTCAGTAGTGAAAGAGCAGGGAGCAGGAGTTGCAGGTTCTGTGTTTAGAGTATATAGGAGGTATAACACAAGAATTTCAGGGGTTAAGGGGCTAGGGCTACTCAGAGATAGGATAAGAAGCCCACGTGAAGGAAAAAGGTATACAAGAAGGTCCACAAGTACAGAGAAAGATTTAAACCTTCCTTACCCTGATGCAGGCAGTCAGGTAGTTGAAAACAGTGGCTTTTAGTGTGAAGGTCTCACCACGCACTACAGAGTAGGGCATGGTGAGCTCTACAAAGAAGGGCTGGAAGGCTCTGAGGGACACTGTCGGGGACAGGCCAAAGCCCTTGTCTGCCGAAGTGCAGAATGCATTGGCTTTCCACTCAGTGATGGTGTCAGGGATGGTCACATCTAGATCGGCATTTCCATCAGAGCTGGTGAGGGACAGACAGCAAGGAGAGCGGGATGATTTTTATGGCATTTTGGTGACTATCTGTACCCCTTTCGGCCTACGGAACAGTACTTCCTGTGTGAATGATGTGGCACAGTATGTTTGTTACTGTAGGACCACCCCACATCTTTTTGCAGACCCACGGACAAACCTAACCATGGATGAAGGTAATCTCATCTCAGAGGACTGCCAAGTGATCTCTGCAAACAATGAAGGACTTTTTGGCATTGAAAGGCTTGTCAAAGGTGGGGATTCATCTTTTCACCTTATAAAACCAGTTTTATTAAAAAGAAAGGAACCAGCCCAAGACACTCACCTTACAGATACTAAACTCCAAATCCAAGTTTCTGGGAAATACTTTCGGACTGTTTCTGACAGTTCTTCAGGAGTGCTTAACTTGGCATAAAGTCTTTCTGCCTGAAGCTCTGAATGTGCCGATATGGAAAAGAAATCAAATATTGAAAATTCCAAACAAGCAAGATCTACATCAGCATCATGCTGTGGTCTGAGAAAGTGGCAATCTATGTGACAGTCGGAAGCTGTACTGGCAGAAGGTATTTGTTGTGGCTGTAGTGAGCACTGTACCAACAGCAGTGAAGTTTCAGGGTCAGGGCTTATTGGCAAGAGCCAGTATTTCCCACTGGTCTTCAGTGAAACTCAAAGCATGTGGGGAAACATTTTACAAGGCTACAACAAGGATGTTAGAGCAAACAGCTATTAATGACCTTCTGTGAACGCAGCCTGTTGCCTTTCCGGTACAGTCTTAACATGATGATCTTCGTCCTATCAGGGCAATGGGCAATGGAATGCCCCTCTGTTGCAGTGCTTTTTGTAGGGTCATTGTGACTTGGAAAATCACCTCCCTGACAAATCTATGGCTTCCTCAAGAACTAGGCTGAAGATGCTCAAACTGAAAACATGCAATTGGGATTTAGGAGGGGTAAAAACAGACTTTTTGACTAAATCAAAATTTTCACATGCAAAAAATTATTCCCGAGAAAATATTTTCAGTTTGGGATGAGTCTTTGAAAATTGCCTGCTTCTGTTGACTTCTAATGTGGAGTTATCAAACCTTGTCTGTAGACCTTCACAACCCAGCAAAAGAGAAAAGCCCCACACTCATGCAGAAGCTGACATTTGTGAACCCACCACTTCAGTACTACTTCCAAGGGTTCAATCCACAACCCCAGCTCTTGTTTAAGTATTGACCCCAAAATACAGAGGTGATAACAAAACCCAGTTCCTTTACCGCTTGTCCTCATTGCAAGCATAGGTGCTCCAGGTGATGGAATGTGGACTCCTGCAGACATGTAATTCTCAGTGCTGCAATACCAAGGTTTCCTCACCTTGGTATTTGTGAAAACCTTTAAACCCATTTCCTATGGGAGAGAAACTCAACATGTTTTTTTTTGTTACTGATTCCCATTGAGGTTTACACAGCAGACCTGACATTGATATTTTACTGCCTCAAAAGGAGAAGCAGTTACTGTCTGTGGATTACACCTTGAGATGATCCCCCTAACCTTGGGTCTGGGTGCCCGGTTGGCTCAGATAGAGCAAAGCATAGATTCCCTCTGTTTCTAGGGCACTGGTTCCATTCCAGTTCTAGCCTAGGGGTCAGGATGAGCCAGGGAGTAGACACAGAGTTTTCTCTCTGGAAGTAAATGTCTGTGGCTATGATGCAGCTCAAGAACATCTTGATTTATTTGGGGTAAACCATAATGGCACAGAATTATTTACCTCCTGTTAGAACCTCATTTCAAGTAAACCTCAAAACTTTTCCTGTAAGAAGAATTTTTCCACCAAGTTGAGAGCAAAGCTGTCAAGACAGATGAAAGCTTAGGACTCTCACTGAACTTGCCTCTTTATAAAAATTAGCATCAGATCATTCAGATTCACAAACGCTTCCCTGGTTATGTTGCATCATGCCACAGAAGGCTTAAGCATTCTCAGTCCTTCTCCCCCTCCACTCCCTAACCATGTAACAGGGCTATACCTTTAGGATGCTGTAAGTGTCATCTTCGTTCATCTCCACTACTGGAGAATAGGTGACCCCATTCAGAATTATCTTCTTCAAGTGGACACAATTCTCCAGGGGCTCCTCCAAGAGCATTTCTGGACCATGGTGATAATCATGCAATTCCTTCCCTGGCAGCAAGCTATACACCTAGGCAGAAAGAGCCAGGCTATTGGGCATTTTCAGTGTCCACTGTCACAAAACACAGCTGAGGTAGTCAGATGCAAGGATCATAACAGTCACATCACCTGCACATACATCCACATTACTCTGGTTATTATGGCTCAAATATACAAAAAAATTACACTGGACAGCCCAGCTGCAGCACTTTGTCCCTACTCAGGGACTGTCGTTTGCTGCTCAGCATGAAGGGTATAAACTCTCTGACACTTCCAGATGCTAATCCAAGAAAATTAATCCATGGCTAGAGAGAATAACTGAAAAAGCATCATCAAATTCACAACAGTGTTTGTCTCAGGCCAAGAGAAGCAGTCACCTTAAAAGAGCTTCCTAATTGCCATCCCTACAGTCACACTAAACCTCTAAGAAACAGCTGCTGCCTGGTTCTTAGCTTTTTACCCACTGAAGGAAGATGAGAAACAGCACAGGGCAGCTTTCCTGTGTCAGCACTAAGAAGAGGGACTATTCACTGTTTCCACCTCAGCACTGGGCTGCACTTGCTCTGACCAGGCTATGAGTTGCTCCACAAACTAAGCACTTACAGAGCTGGGTGACAGGTCAGCTTCTGGCTTCATGAGGAGAACACTCTTGTCAACAGCACGGACAGCACAGAGGGAGTTCGGGGAGGCTCTGAAGAGCAAGCGAGCATCAGAAGAAGGCAGGCCTTCAGAAGGAGAGAAGCTCAAGTTCACCTGTAGCCACAGGAAAAGCTATGTCACAGACGCCCTGCCCTTGCAGGATTTTTACCTCCAGTTAAATGCATCAGTTCTAAATTGCAAAGTCCACATATGCACGCACACACATACACACCCTCCCCTCTGTGATACTGCAGAGCTGGGTTTCCTTCCTGCAGTGCCAGAGGAATCAGCACTAACAGTTCTTGGCAACTTCCAGCATCACAATGGCCCATAAAACTTTTAAGGTAGTTTTAAGGTAAGTAAGGTAAGTTAAGCCTCTGTGAATCTGATGAGATAATCCCACATAGTGGCTAGATCTGTTCAGGCAGCTGGGCATGTTCTCTATACTGCACCCAGATATTGTATGTGGAGAGAAAACAAGCTTGCAAAGACCTTGCTTAGCAGATTCTTTGGTAACATGAGAGGTGGTGATGCCCTGGAGCAATATTGTAATATCTACTGGTGAAGAACTGGTGTGTTGGTTGGGGCCTGCCAGACTTGTGAGCCTTCCCCAAAGCCTAACTCACAACTCCAATGACCCCCCACCAACCTCTGCCCTGCAAGTTCTTGTTAGCAGAAGTTGTTGTCATCACCATCTCACATTGTAGTAAGGCTGACCTGCATAAATCTTCCCTCTTCTCAGCAGTTCAAATCCTCCCCTAACATGCAATCATCATCAAAGCATCCTCAGAATAAACATGCTGCCTGACAAAGAAGCATCAGCTGCCAGTCTCCCTCATGTCCCAGCCAGACCACAGCACACCTGCTGACAGCCCCCAACTCTCCCAGGGTGAACTCATAATCTTGAGACTGCAAAAACAATGTTCTACAGGAAATGACAGAACAAGAGCTGTAGCAAGTTTGCTAGTGGAAAAACTGTCCGGCATAGAGATAGCCCAAAGTCTGTCCTATCTGGTCTAACAACAGCTTTAAATTCAGGATGCTTTCAGAGAGGAAAGCAGTACCTAATCATATAAATCACTTGGCACTTGGCTTGCACCCAGACCTTAATGCACTGCATAATATAACCTTTAATATATGAAAAAAATTCAGGTGACCAAGCTCCTACAGTGACACTAGTCTCAAGACCTCATTTAGCTTGGGTTTTAGCAGGACAAGAGACACCTTTAGCAGTGTCCTGTCTACTACTCTGAAGTCCTGACGGGAATTTTTGAGGCTATTCTTTTCTTAATGCTGCTCAAACATTAATCTGCTGTTCTGCATAAGGAATATGTGGGGCTATAAGAGAACAGTGGTCCCCATGCTCACAGAAAGACGGCTTTATTTTTCTGCACTCTTTCGGTCTCACCATTGCTACTGAAGTACCACTGTGCATTACTCAGCAGGTTCAGGCAACTTTTATCTCCCTTTACATGCAACAGAAATTAAAATGACAGGATGAGATTGTAAAGGACCTGAAAGATCTGGCAAGTATTAGCTTTGCCCACTGCATTGGGGCTGTGAGTGTTTTATTTTTGCCTGTGACAACACAAGCAGCCAGACTAAACCTAAATAAATGAGCTTGGCCACACCGCAGTCTGATGGCTGCTCCCTCGAGAAGTGGACACTTACCTTATTGCTGAAACACTTTTCTACATTGAACTTGGTTGAATCAGCAATCACCTCCCTGCTGGGGGCAGTGGTATAAACAAGCAATTGGGCCACTGGAGCGATATCAGCTTGTACAGGAAGATGTAGCAAGAAGACCCCATTGGCTAGCAAACAAAACAAGAGCAAAAGGTTAAGATACAGGAAATTTGCTCTTGAAGCAGCCAAAATTCTAGGTTTGACTTCATGCTGAACTTCATCCTAGCCATGATGAAACTCCAGGCCTCCAAGTAAGATGAACTGGTGCTCACAAACATGCATAAGTCACACTGTCTGATTGAAAAGGCCTGTTTCAAGTCTTGTTTTCCAGTGCATAAGCATGCTGAATTTTGGTTCAGCTTCTAAAAACAGACCATGAGTTTGTGTCTCCTGGGAACACTGGAGGCCCAGAAATGCAGTGTCAGAAGAAAGACAGCTGGCACGGAGGATTAGAGCAAATCTGTGCAAAGCCTAAATAAAGGCTAAGAAAATAAACCTCAAACTCTTCCTGTATCTTAGGGGACATGGAGATTTGGATCTGTGCATTTATATGGAAGAAGCCTGTATGTCTGCCACTGTTGCCTAGCCTCCCAGAACAGCGACAATTTGGCAGGCGAGAGGAACTCACCCCGTTCCTGGTCCAAATCCAGAGTGTGGGTGCCCGCTTGCTTAATTATTCCCTTGGCCATCACCTGAATGGAAGGAGAAACCTTGCTGTGATTGAGGTTATGCATGAGCCAAACCTTAAAGAGGGGGAACCTGAGAGGAGAGCAACTGAGATGTATGTCTGCTGCTCACACTCTGCTCAGCTGCTCTCTGCCTCTTTGCAGCAGAATCCCAGTGCTCACCCAGGAGGCACTGGGACATCCTTGCTCTTCTGCTCCTGACCCAGACCCTCCTTTTTATTGGAAAAGTAAATATGAAGGATGATGGGAAAGTGTTTAAAGCCTGCTGCCACAAACCACAATTTCCATCTCCAGCACCCCTACAATTACCAGTGACAGCCTCATTGTATGGCAGGTGTAAGCTTACCAGGTAGTAAAAGATTATTTTCTTCTGCTCTCCTATGGCCTCTGGAGTAAGGATATAGTGCACCCGGACATCTGTGGAGGAGCCACAGCTTAGTGTCTTGAACTTGGGCTCAATTTTGAGGAAGCTATTACTAGGAGAGTAAAAGCGCTTTAGTGGGAGATAGCCGCCTTCATAATATGGAGCAACCCAGGAACGGTCATAGCAGTAGGGGTGTACTTTATGAGTTGCCTGGAAAAGGAGAAAATACACAATAGATCCTCAGACACAGGTGGCTGAACTGGAACCAAAAATCTAGTGGTAAATACTGGATAAATTTTAATGGTTTTAATCTGTGACTAGATAATTGTAGGGAGAAGAGCAAATACAACTCAAGACAATCTACCCTATTCCAGGGTGAAATATTACAAAATGTGCATATTACACACATATTGCATTTTCCACTAAAAAAGGGTGCTCAGCAGCATTTATTTTTCCCAGATAAACAAATTCCATACCAGGGAGAGAATTTCTGTGAATGGTCATACTCTTTTTCTCTTTACAGCAGGAAAAAGAAAAAAAAAAAAGAAAGAAAAGAGTAAGGAGGACAGCTTAGAAACTCAGAATGCTAAATTAAACCCTGAGAGCTGCAGATTGCCTTAACTGACCACAAAGGCTATTTAGATGAGTTATTTGGGAAATAATTTAATTGAAAAGACAGCAAAGCACTAACAGCACTCCACTGGGAGTTAGACCCACCCTCATAACAGATTTGTCTAGGTAGAGCTTGTGATCCCTTGGAGCAGAATGGCCTATTATGATCTCTTGATGTTCCTTCTAATCCTATACTGCTACTGCCAAGAAGAAATCAAATACTGTAAGTGAAATTGTGATGTGGTAACCTGGTTTGTTGGATGGCTATTTCTATCACAGTGACATCAAGGTTGGCAGAAACATCCAGGAAAAAGAAGCTAAGTGCTTCTGCATATATAGTAGAAACTTCAGAGGTACTCCCCTTACAGCCCTGTTGGTCACTTCATCACCTCATCTGCCCACAGGACTCACCCTAATTCCAAAAGAATCAAAGTACAACGTGGAAGTGTTCAGTGCAAACTGTGCCCTGCCTTCTTCATTTGTTGTATAGTTGTTTTCCTGGCCTCCTTGTAAAGAAATCTTCACAATTTCGTTGGCCATTGGAGCACCAGACCCATCCACTAGTTTCACCTGGAGGAGCAAAAACAGTGAGGTATAGAAGGAGAGGAATGCCTGTCACCTGAACAGACTGATAGTGCACCAAGCTAAGGCGGTTGGCTCACGTCAGACAAGGAAGCTTTACTTACGCAAAAACAGTGAGGTATAGAAGGAGAGGAATGCCTGTCACCTGAACAGACTGATAGTGCACCAAGCTAAGGCGGTTAGGCTCATGTCAGACAAGGAAGCTTTACTTTTACTTACTGCACTTTACACATGCATCACCCATCTCTTTCAGAAAGGGATTAAAACTTTCTGAATCTTATTTCTTTGTCCCTTTCTTATCTTCATGTCTGATTCAGAGGAGTGGATGTGGTGATTGACATGCACTCACACCCCTTGGGCCTCCTGCTGAACAGGAGCCTGGAAAACAGGAGCAGGATTTTACTTGACTAGAGAAGTAGAAGTGTAAGGACAGAGGGGTAAGCAGAATGAGAGCTGTTCTGTCAGCTGCTGTTCCCTGGTTTGAGAGCCTGCAGAGGAGAGGAAGCCCACAGGGATTAGCAGCACTGAGGTCCAGCATCTTTGCAGAGGAGGGGCATGTATCTGTCCAGGAGGTTCAGTAGTGTGATCATTTGGCACTCATGGCATTTCATGCTCCTGGTTTCCCTACCTGCCCAAAGAAGGGGATTCCAGGTTTGTAGTAGGAGTCTGAATGCTCAAAGGTAACTTTGCTAATGGTGGTTGTGATCTCAGAGAAGCTGGTTCCAGTCAACTCCACTCCTGCAGTAAGAAGCATGAAGAATTAATTTGCCTCTGCCTGACCAGTATTACTTTTAATCCAGGCCAACTCTCCTTTGCTAAACAAGAGATTTTGTTGATGGTCCTGGCCTCCAGGTAGGAACACTTTAGGATTCCAGAGAAGCAAGCCTGCTTTTCTCTCTCACCCCCACTTGTCAGGCCCCTCTCTTAGTCTCTCCTGGGTTTATTACATGGCTCTTCAATCCAGATGATTCATACCTGTCTCCTCCTCTTTAATCTTAGCCTCCACATGGAGCTTATTCTCATATCCACTTCTTTTGAGCTGGAATAACTTGGTCTTTACCACTTCAGAAATGCAGCCATGGTTGTCTGTCTGTTGGAGGAAAACAAACAAGAACATTACAGTCTCATCCATATAGTGTTTGTCTAACTGAATGAATCCATCACTGTCTATTGTCCTGAACTGGAAGAGAAACCCATAACCTCACTGCTCATTCCCTTTGTTGTTTTTATCAACACAGGAAAAGCACATAAATAACTTGGCAAGGAGCATTTTGAAGTATTTGCAGCAACATCAGGGCAAAGAGTTTGCAACCTAGAAGATTTTTGTGTGTGTGCTTGTGAAGTTTGAAACTCTAAACGCTTGATACAGAAGCATAGGCAATTATTCAAGTGTATGCCACACAGGAAATGTTTGCCAGGCATCAGGCACATTAAAATACAGCTCTTGGCTTAAAATGCACAAGCTGTATGAGTGGTACATAAACCAAAGCCTGTGTATGTGTAGAAAGAAGATGACAGCTGGAAAAGCTTGCCACCTCTCTTCAGCATCTTCACGTACAAGACAGGTCACCACAGAAAAGGTAAGAGGAGCCTGGAACAGAGCTTAGCACCACAGCGTTCGTATTTTCTTTTAGCATGGATAAAAACAGCAGTGGCAGAGGCACTTGTGGAGGTCATACTGTAGCAGACCCCAAGGACCACAATCATGTCTTCTGCTTGCTTTCCTGTCTTGGCATATTTCCATAACTGCTATTGCCCCAGCTTCTGTCAGTTGAGCTAGCACTGTTGCACATGCCTGTGCTCCAAACACCATTCAGTTGTGCTCTTGTAGACTTGTCAGTCTGAAAAGTGATTTTTTTTTCTGTCCATCTTAACCACTCCTGCTAAATTCATATTCCTTTCTGCATCACCCCTCCTTAGTTTCTGCTCCTTCCTGCTTCAAACACTTCTGATCCCACACACTGTCTCTAGTGTAAGCCAACCCCAACTCTGCTTACATTGTTCATGCCTGTTCTATCTTACTTCTCTCTTATACTCTGCACTCCATCTGACTTATTTTTTTGTTTCTTTTATCTCTTTTTTCTCCATCAACTTCTTGCCTTTACATACACTTTTCATACTGCACAGACCTTCCCCCTATTTTTACCTCTCATATTTCATCTTGCACCCAATCTTCTCTCCTTCTTCAGGCTTCCCTAAAATACATGAAGTCACTCCACACTCATGCTTGTACACACTGTGTCAGAGCAAGCCTGTGCCTACAAGGCATGCTTAATAAACCAGTCTTTCTCCTATCACTCTACCCAAAAGAGTAATCATGAGTCACCTGTCTGGAGAACTCGTCGCACACTGCCTTAGCCTCTTCACCGTAGCAGGGGCTGCCTGCCTGTTCAAACTTCCGGCAGACACGAAAGCTCACGAGGCCAGGAACAGGCTTCCCAAATGTGTATCTACCATCAGGGAGGATTGAAAGAAAAACAGATCCATTAGGAATGTAAGAGAGAGAGAGAAAAATTACTATCTCACCCCCAATGGAGCTGCCTCCAGGATACAGCTAGGACATCACAGGAAATAAAAAGCAGAAAGAATTTTGGTAACATTTTAGGATCAAGATTGGCAAAAGGGGCAGGAGCACTGAATCTTACAGTCCTGATTGCATCCCTGGGAATAACACACAAGTCTGCATAAATCATTTATCCTAACACTGATTTAGTTGAGAGCACCCCTCACCTTGGAGAACATGTTGCAAGTATCTAACCCACCACTCAGCTCTGATGGAACTGGCTGTCTATGCATATGCTCTGGGTCTTTTGGCTTGTTCTTCAGACAGAGCAGTGGCTCTCGCTGCAGGGTGCGTGGAACATGCCATGCAGAATCAAACGAGGTGGCCCAAAGGAAAGAGGGCAGCTGCATCATTTGTGGTTTCCTCTCAGTGATGACAAGCATAAGCCACAGTTAAAACATCATTCCCAGATAAACTAAACTGAAGACCTCTTCCCTAGCACTGCAGCTGCTCTTAAACCCTCTATGACTCAAAAAAAATGGAAAAAATTCCCAGAAGAAAAATATGTTTCTACACGTTACATACGAAGTGCCCCAAGCAACAAGTGTCAACTTTTGTCTAATGGTAGACATAGTCTGTTTGGTCCTGGGACCCCAAAATGATTAAGAAATAAAACAAAGTATCATATCTCAGTCTCCCAACTGTATTTTCAGCAGCAGCTGAAGCAAAACCTGAAACCAAGAAGGACTTGAAAGAACAACACTCACAGACCACAAACTGTCACCTTCAGCTTCTCATCAAGAATGGTAATCACCTTGGGCATTTTCACTGTTACTTCGAATTTTGGTAGCACTGCAGCAGAACCAAAGGAAAACAGTCTATGTGGTGGGGAATAACATAAGAATGAGACATGAATGCTGCTCAAACACTACTCTTACAAATGTCTGGAAAGCCTTTTGCATCTAATTGGTCGGATTTTAGAAGCTTCTGTCACCTGCACATCCCCCTAAAGTCAGTGAAAACCACAGATACTTGGCCAACCACTGTGCCACGTAAGAAGACAGGGTTATTACACCAGCTATTAAAATACAGCAGCTTCTTAGCTAACACAAGGGTTATCAGTCCCACAGCAATAGGATACAGTGAAATAGAGATTTAAGTCAAGAGATGTCTCCCACAAATATCCAGAGCTGAGACTGCAGCCTGGTCTCTACATTTCCAAAGTATGAAGGTCTTACCAATTCATAAAATAGGAAGACCCCATAGCTGCAGACTATGTTGTGGTGACTTAGCACAAGGTGACATCACATCCAAACCCCGCTGCAGGAGGGGAAGTGGGTGCTGACTACCTTGGGAGAACTAGAAGGGATTCAGGGCACAGGGCAGTCATGCAGTTGAAAGAGGTCAAAGAACTTCCAGACTCACCTCCCAGGACTCAGCTCAGCTGCATGAGCCAGATCACGTCAGACCATGTAACAAGGGCTGCAGCTGGCTCGCTGGGGTGGGGGGCTACTTTGGCTGTTACCATGTGTAGGTGTGTATTGGGATAGCATTTTCTAGTGAAGCAGATGAGTACCAGGGAGAGGTTAAGGCACTAAAGTATAATTTGAGCTATGGGCTTAGCCTGTGGGGGAGGACAGGCAAGATGTGAATTTCCATTCAGCCCCAGCCTACACTAAAAGGTCAGGACTTTGGGCCTCAGGCAAGGGAGACCCACACTCATAGCATAAGACCTGACAGGTGTGCAGCCAACTGGAGATGAGGCTGTGGCCTTAAAACAATTCTGAAAAGAGGTGAGGCTTGTGGACAGACTGATCCAAGCACACTTGCTCTTTCTGATGTTAGCCACCCACTGAAGTGGGCAGTCAGAGGAGCTGCATTGCATGGCCTGGGGCTTAGGGAGGAGTGAAGACAGGTCGCTCAAGTCGTTCAGTCTTCACTCCTCAGAAAAGGATGATGCTTGGGAGGGAGAGGACACAGGGACTTTTTTTTCAGCCATACTGGACATCCTGGTCGGATCTACCACCCTGTTCAATTAAGCTTTCATGCCCCACAGGACTAGCTGTTAGGAACTTGAAGCTACAGCAACAGTTACCATACTCCTCCACGGAGAAAGGATGCTGAATTCTCTTCCCAGAGGCCTTCTGTGCCACCACTGTGTAGGTCCCTTGCATAGGTTCAGAGGTGAGGTTGAAGAACAACTGGATTAACCCCCTCTTTAACTCTACCTTTGTCCACTGGTACAGACGGTTTTTCTTTGGGTCCTACAGATAACAATTACAAGGAGACTGTGAGAGCGGTAGCTGTCTGCAACAAGAACTAAAAAGCACCAGCAGAAGCAGTGACGGGAGGCCCAGCCCCATTGGAGGCTGTGGGCCAGAAGCAGGGGGCACGAGCAGAGTTGTGTGGGGAGCCCAAGGCTGGACAATAGAAGGAGCTGCAACCTGGGTCCAGAGTACATGGTTGCCATCATATGAGTTAAAGCTCTGTATATTCAAATTAATGTAAAGGACCTGCTTGATACATAAAATAGACAAGAATAATCTTGAGGCAGCTGGTAGTTTTTCTTCTCTGGTTGAGGTGCAATAGACGTGAACATGACTTGAATGTTTGTACATACCTCGATGTATACCAGTGGAAACTAGAAAAAGAAGAAACAGCATACTTAGACACAGTGCAAGCAACACAGCCATATGACTAGGGCTATGAACAGGTTTCAGGGAACAAGCTAATCACCCAATGGGTTAAAAAAAAGGTTCCTGGTATGGAGCAACACAACATTTTGAGGTAGGTCAAGAGGGGGGCAATCTGTTGTGTCAGGTAGAAAAGTCAGCAGAAATTACCAACTCTGGATGATCTGCAATACCAACAAGAGCAGGTGTACACCGTGATAATGGCAGATTTGCTTGCTGCTGAGGTGTTTACACCAACACTATTCATTTGCAGTTTGTCAAACCTTTCCAAGAAGGCAGCCTTATGCAGAAATTTGAACAACTGACCCTGTTAACAAGACCTGAAGTAACCCAGGAACTGCACAACTATCTTGGTGTACCGAGAGCTCTCCCCAAAAGACACTTCTTTCCTCCCTTTTCCCACGTAGATGACTTAAGGCCAAATAACTAGTGAAAATGAAGGATCATACTTACCACCTCATTTAAGGGATGGAACTCTTTATCCAGAGAAACAATTCTGAACAGAACTGATGGAGAAAGGCAGAGAGTAAGGTTCTACAGTGCAGTCATCACCCAGAAAACATCAGTTGCAAAAACACATGCTACAACAAAGAACAAAGCTGTTCTCTTCTAGAGAAATTCCGTTCACTAGAAAGCTAAGTCATGCTAGAAGGTTACACATGTAAGAAATTACATATTTAATGTATGTTAAGAGCAAATCCATGGCAGTGTGAATATCTTACTGATCACGGGCATCAGAATCTCATTTATCAGGACCAAAGTTAAATTTAAGTTGCCTTTCTCTCTTTTGCAAGGATTCATTTTTACATTGTAATTCACATTGATCTTCTAATTTTGTTATAATTAGGCTGACTGCAATGGATGAATGCAAGCAAATTATTTCAGCACTTGGCTGCAAGTTTGTGTTGGCTCTGGATGGACAGAGAATTCAGAGTCTCTTTTAGGACATTAGTTCCTGTCCAGACCAAATTTAGGAGGTCAATGGCCCAGAAAAAATAAATGGCTTACATAGTTCTCTCTGTCTCTGAGAAAAATTAGCTGCCGCTTTGAAAGCTATTTCATTATTTAGTCTGAATTTTGGACCTGTTATCTACGAGGCAAATATCCAGTCTTTCTCTGATTTTAATGCAGACCATAACTACATGGACCACAGCAACAGAGGCCCCTGTGACAGAGGGAGGTACCTCAGGTATGTGCATCTCAAGGTTCTCCAAGTTGTTCTTACACGGAGCATTAAAAACATAAGCCTTAGCCATAAGGTTGTGGTTCTGACCCCTACTGAAAGCAGCTGGCATCTGGCCAGCACAGTCTAACAGTTTTAGTGGGAATTTTTGCTTCAAATGCAAATCTCCATCCCTTCCCCAGTACCTGTCTGTCCAGGTTTGTAGATGGGTTTGTCTGTCTGGACAAAGACCAAGCTCTCGGAATTCTTGACCAGCACTGTCTTGCGGCTCCTGAATTGCACTGTCGCTCCCTTCACTGTCACAGTGATAAACGTCACTGGTGATGGGCTATTTGATTTTGGAAGCTGGAGAGTAAGAAGGCAACTATGTTATGGACCACCTTTAAAGGCTTCCTGAACTGAATTGGCCTTCATGAAATAAAAGATCTAACATAATCCTGATGGACTCAGCACAGAGGTGAGGGGAACTATAACCAGGAACAAGAGACTGATCTTTATTTGTCCCATATTCCTACTCATTCCTACTCCTGTGCAGTGATTGTGCAAGTATTGTGCAGTAAAGGAACTCCCAGTTCCGTCACTCAATTTTAAGAAAGTCTTACTGCCCTGACCAAAACCTTTCTGTCCTTTTCCTTTTGACACTCACAGGGGCAATGCAATAACTCTGTTTTTCTTTCAGATAATGTCCCTAGTCCTTGCAGAACATTTCTTTTTCCAAACCAGACGTGCCAGTTCTCTATATATCTCTTTCCAAGTGATGAAACTCAAACTTCAGCCTATATCTGACAAACCCAGACACAGATGCCAACCTGTTCGGTGTCCTGAAGACCAGTTCTTCAGCCTCTGGGCCAAAGGCATTATCTGTGCTCTGAGTCAGATGACCAACTTTCCTGGTTGCTCATGACTCGTTATAGTCCCTGGGGCTATCAATTACACTAAGCTATTAATTTCTTGCTTCACTTTTTTTTCAGACACAGGGAATCGCATCTCTATGTTCTTACATTAATTCAGTGTACTACATCCACAAGGCAAATAGTATCTAAGGTCCAGAAGTTCTACTCCAGTTCGAAGGTACTCAAGTGACAATCTGTGGCTGTTGAAGGATGATGTGGAGAGCCATTTGAAGAAGCTGGTCATCAAACAGCCATCATCAAGAGTGTCAATACTAAACCCACTTCTTTCTCCACCGCCTGTCCTAGAGAGGGGCTGGCTTACCAGGATTCACCATTTCCCATTCAGGTAGCACCCTAAGGAGATCTCAGCAGTGAGAGGGTGTTGAGGCTGAACACGAACATACCTTTGGCCAAAAGGGAAGTGAATACCTACACAGTGTTACTCTGTTCATTACTACTCAGTGCCCTTACAGTTTATCCCTGGCACAAGGGATCATCTCACAAGGATGAGATACTCACAGAGAAAGGGATGCAGGTGAACAAGTCATTCTCTGACACCACATCATCAATCAAGCTCTTGTTTTCTCCCTGATACTCGAGTGTGGCACTCAGCGTCACAGACTCATTCAGGTGGATCAGCTGAACACAGACTTTCTCAGGAGAATCAGTGTGTATCAGAAAGGGCAGCAGCACCATATACTGCCTAGGAACAAGGAAGAAGGACAGGTCTGAGGAGCAGGAACAGGTAACAGGAGCTCAACAAAAAGAGCAAATAAACTAATCTGATGATTACAACCCTCACTGCACAGGGACAGAGATGCATTTGCTAGGAGTGTAACAAGATTTTCAGCATATCTGTAACATAAGGGGAAAGAAGAGAGGTCAGTCTCAAAAGTAAAATACCACAGGAAATCCTCAATGCAAATGTCTGGAAAGGGTATGTTTGTCCAAGTTCTGGCACAACAGCAGCACTTCCTCCTGCGACCCTGAATACCACCAGCGGGGAAAGTCAATTGTCACCTTTGCTAGACACTGTTAGTAGGATTCAGGAGCCACACAACTGCCGGTACCTAGTGAATAAATGCCATTGACTACATGCTGCAAACTAACTCTAGCACTACTCTCATTCCTTGCAGAGACCCAAAACTGCCACAGCGCGGTGCCAGATCTTAAGCAAAAACATTGGAGTGACTTTCAGCTTTTCAGGGAAGCCCACCTCTCTGGCTAACCCGGAGCAAGGGGTCCCTACCCGGCCCTATGCACTCTCCTTCCCAGTGGAGCAACCTGCTGATGGTGTCCCGGTGCCCAGCACTGCATCTGGGAATCAAACCTTCACTTAATGATTCGCTTCATGGCAACAGCGCTCCCTTTAGGTGGGCAAGGACCGGTCTCTGATGGGCATCCTCAGAGCAGCAAGCTGCTGGGAGAAGTGCCCTTCACACCTTAGTTGTAAGGTAGGGCATCACTTTTAGCGGTAGAGAAGGCTCTGACACCTTTATGTCCATCAATTGGTTCGCAGGGAGAAAGTGTGGATCCCCTTCAATCCTGAACCTGCCGTTTGTTCATCCTGTATTTGATGAAAGCACTGCAGTACAGCCTTGCTTTGCTGGGGAGGAAAAGACATTGCCAAAAAGTCAAAGGAGAAAGTCTTTGGAATGTCAGGACCCCTCATGCACTGCTCCTGCCATACATGTACACACATGCACACAACACACACTCCCTTCATATACACACCGTGCAAAAGGGAGTGGAGAAGGAATGCAGCACAATATACCTTCACAGACCTTAACAGTCACAGTCTTACAGTGCCACATAACCCTGAGTGAGAAGGGAATTTTCATTGCATTGGCTGAGCTGAAAAATGTGAATTAAAAAATAAAGCCATTTTTGGTCATGCCAGATCTGTTATTTGTTCATTTTTTTTTTTCTTATTCTCTATGAAAAAACAACTCCTATCTCCTTGGCATTTCAACCTGAGAGTAGGGTAGTCAACCCAAAATGAAACCTTTCATTTTCTTTTCAAAAAAGTCTGTCTCTTGTGCAGAAAATTTTGTTGGAATCCTTTCAATTCTCTGAAGCAAAAAAAAAAGGTATTCTCATAGACCTTTTCCTCTTTTTCCCTTTTTCCCTTTTTCCTTTTTTTTTTTTTTTTTTTTGCTGTTGTTTGTTTGCTGAAGTTATACTGATATCTCAGTTTCACAGACTGGTTTGGGTCCCCTAAAGCACTAGAGCTGCTGTTTGTAGAAGACATGTTACTCAGCCCTGCTGTCTTTATTCCTGGGTAAAAGAAAGTACGCAGAATATAAGAGACAAAGCAACAGACACAAGAACACAACCCAGGTCTCCTGCCTGCCCAGGGACCCACCCCCCCTGTTTCCCCCCACATAGCTTACGGGTCTGTGGTGGGTGAAGTGTCTCCAGCAAGGAAGAAGAGGAGGAGGAAAAAGTTTGGTTTGATGAGGAGCCTGTCCTTCCCCATGGTGCAGAGCAGGATGTGATGAGTCAAGCAGTCTGGTCCAGTGCTGCTTGTACTCCCTCTCTGCTCTCCAAGCCAACCCCTTTATACTCTGTTCTGCAAACAGCCCAGGGGTTGGAGGAGATAAGGGCCGGGGGCCAGGGCCCATCCGGAAATGTGGAGAGGCGGTAAGGAGGAGCTGGAACTAGGCAGCCCTCAGTCTGGGCAGAACGCCAGGCGCTGGGGGGAGAGGGAGAGGACAGTGCCCAGCAGGCTGGAGCTGTCTCTCTTTTGGGACAGAGCAGCAGGCAACGGAGGAGGAAAATTGTTAGCTAAAGAAAAGGGCTTACAGCAGAGGATAAGGGGAAGGCCTCAATTTCCAGCACGGTTCCCTGTATGGAGCTGGCCACAGCGCTGGTCACGGGGGCTGATGGAGGTGCAGGTGCAGTTGGATTTCCCTGAAACTGAGAGCAGAAGATTGAGCTAGGGTTTTGGGAAATAAGAGTAGGTGCACCTAACCCCCACTGCCAGGCAGGATCTGAAAACAGGGAATGCAAACGCCAAACACCTTCCCCCTCCACCTACCCTGCTCTCTTGTTCTCTCCATTCCTGGTCGCACCAGAGCTAATGCCAGGAAAGGGACCAGAAAGTGTTTGGACAATCAAGTTGTCTGACCTTCACCCTGACAGGAACAGGGACAGTGACATGACGGAAAGCTGCCAAAAGTTCAACCCATTAACAGCGTGTAACACATTAACCAGTTCTCCAGAGCAGCAGCTGCCCTCATACAGCAGAACAGACATGGCCAGGGTCTTGTTCCAGGTCAAGTTATTGGCACATCTAAATCAAATTATTGTTTTTTGATGGAGTCCTTCTGGGTTTCATTGTGGGAAAAATCCACGTAATGCACTGTGATGGACGATGTTGTATCATACAGGGAAATTTCTTTTTTAGCCATTGTTTTTACTGTAGGTACCTTGGTCTGCAGCAGGAGGATCAATAGCTCTGGTAATTATTACCCTTGCAAGTGTCAGAAAAATATCTGTCTTACTGGTAGCCCTAATTCAAACTCCAAAGAACGGACATCAGTGTTGGATGTAAAGCATAATTTTCAGATTAAAAAGGGTGAGGGATAAAAATATTATCTGTCTGTCTTTCCCTCTCTTACTATCATCATAAGTTGGGTAAGCTCAGGAAGTTTGGAGTTAAGAGATAACAAACCTCGGTGACCTGCATGGGAAAGGAGAGGATAGCAGTGCACATACAGTTTCCTTGGGTATTCCACAAAAGAGCCCAGGCTTGTGCTTTGCCTTCTCCATCGGATGCATAAAGGTTGCTCTGCCTGCCCAAAAGAAAGGTAACCCAGGAAGATCTTCCTCACCTGCAAAGAAGAGGATTTGTACGTGGGGTGGTCAAAGCCATTTTGAAGATGAGTCTTTACATTAGTTTGAACAGGTCGGGAGCCAAACGGATTGAACACTAACCTTACAGGAAAGAGGTGCAGAACTGCACGCAGCAGAGGAAGCTAGGGCTACCATTTTGGCAAATAGACAGACAGCTCCCACTGCTCACAAGCCAGCTCCTGATTATTAGGACCTTGGTCAAAAATGCACTGGGTAGCCAAAAACTGAAGAGAAATGTTTTCAATCAACTGAAGGTGGCAAGATTTTAAATGCTTGAGAATTCCAGTAGGCACCAATGTACATGCACAGATACCAAACTGACTTTTGAAATCTGCCCTCAAACTGCTTGGCCTCCATCCCATTCCCAGTAGCAACTTTGGGCCCCAGCACCCTGATTTCAAGGGTCTCTGCATGGCCCATGTGATTCAGCTTGTAGGTGGTGGCACAGACACAGCAGGGACAATTAGTTTCTCCCCTCTCTCCTGCCATTTGCATCTGCTGTGAGTACAACTGAGAAGGCCAACAGGCTTTATAGAGTTTTTTTTTCTAGATTTTGAGCTGAAGAAAACTCCTGCAAGGTGTTGGCTTATCCATGAGGAGAGCGTGTTTTAGGGATATCTTTCCTGGATTTCTCTCATTGAATCTGAAGTTCTGTCATTTGGCATAGCTCAAAGGGACAGGTGCCCCAGTTGTGCAAAAAGAGCATTAAGTGTCCCATATCTGAACCAAGAATCCTACTGCACTCATTGATAGCACCACAGAAGTGCTGGTTGGAAGGGAGTTCTGGAAGTTATCTAGGGCATCCTTCCGCTTAAAGCAGGACTGGCTGCCAGTGCTAGATCAGGTCAGCTATGACTTTATCAAATCAAATCTTGAAAACCTCCAAGGACAGATAACCTACTATTTCTCTGGTGACCCGTTCCAGTGTTGCACTAATCTCTGGTGAAGACGTCCTTCCCTATGTCAAACCTGAACTCCCTAAGCCGCAGTTGCAGCCATTGCCCCGTATTATATCTTCTGCCGCTTCCAAGAAAGATCATGTTCCAACGTCCTTGTAACTAACTGCCTTTCCAGTATTTGTAGGCATCTATTTAATCACTCCAACTTAGTCTTGGTCAGACTAAACAAGTCCAGCTCCCCCTGTCACTCCCTGTGGGTCATATGCTCCATAGTCTGACCAGTTTGATAGTCCTCCATTGGACCCTCTCCATTTTCTCCACTTCCCTCTTGAATTGGGAGTAAGCAGGCCAGACACAGTCCAAGTGCAGCTGCAGAAATGCCACTGTAACTTCCTGCAACCTGCTAGGCATGCTCCTCCAGTATTCATTCATCGCTGCTTATAGAGTTCATCCAAGAACTTACTTCCAAGAAAATTAGCATATATCAATCAACTATAACAACATGCTCTAGACAGAAGATTAAAAGCTCTGCTAAAGATATTTGTTCAACTCCTTTTCATGGAAATGAATATACTTGCTTCAGATCCCTTTAGTACTGTGAAAACTTGAACCCATGAAGGAGACATATGCATTGTTAACAGTAAAATCTGCAGCTGAAAATTCTTTCTCTTCAAAGAACAGTCACCTTTTAAGGCAACCTAGTGGATTTATTTATTTTACATTTCATGAACATCTCTTTGGAATGAGATTGAGAGGCCATGTTTGAAGAGCTCATCAGTAAAATAGTCTAGCATGCACTGCACTGTAAAATCTTAGGGGAGGCAAAGCTGTCACGCTTTCACAAGGTAAACTACACAAGCTCAGAGACACGCTCACCTCACCTATGTGCATCATAACACAAGAAGCTGTTTCTTCACTAGGGTTCTCTGGTAAAGTAACCGCTAGGTTTCCTTCTGTAGATGCTACCACCACTTTGACAAAGCAGGCAAAATCTCCAGCATTATTTCATAGGGCCTGGCAACTTTCTGGGAGTCAGGGACAGCATCTGCTTTTGATATTGAATGGGCTCTGGCACAGACAAAATGACTCACCCAAAGTAACCCAGACAACCTGAGATTAAAACTCAAGTTTTTTAGCTCCTGGTAGGCTGCTTAAAATACTGTGGTTTTCTCGCAGTTTCCCCAGGTTTGACTGTGACAGGCATGGTGTGGTGCCTATCTGCCTTCTAGGGTTAAACCATGACACATGGTTATTGAGAAGCAGACCTACCCTTGCTGGTATACTTTCCCACCTTAAGCCATTCAGCTCAGTAAATTCCCTATGAGGCTCAGCAGACATCCTCTTAGCTGGGTACATTAAGGTCTGTATTTTTGTCTTCATCTGCCCTGATTTCTTCACGTCCTACATACTTTATGAATGTAAAGCCTCACATACCAGGGATATGCAATAGAAGGCATTCTGTAAATGGCAGTGTGAGGAATTTGCTGCTTCATTACAACTGGATTGATCAAAACTGCATTAAGTTGCTTCTTTCAACCAGATGATGCAAGGACAATTTCAATTATTTGAAAAGAAAATTGCTGGGGGAGGGGGGGGAACAGCAATTTTCTTTTGGAGAAAAAAGATCTTGTTTCTGTTTTCTCTGTTTGTAGTGCTTATTTCCATGTGACACAGCAGTATCAATCCCAATAACAATCACTTACAACGTATTTGTTGTAAGTAATCTAGCATTTTTAGATCAAAACTCTGGTGTTGAGATCAATTAGTTCCTCCATAGCCCTTCCCTGCCATGCACCGTGCTGTCTAGTTCTTTACTTTCATATATTCATATATTTGTATATTCATATATTCATATATTCAGGAGAGCAGACTTTGACCTCTTTAGGGACAAAGCCGTGGAAGGAAAGGGGGTCCAAGAAAGCTGGTTAATATTCAAGGACCACCTCCTCCAGGCTCAGGAGTGATGCATCCCAACAAAGAGAAAGTCAGGCAAAAATGCCAGGAGGCCTGCATGGATGAACAAGGAACTTAAAAAAAGAAGCCTATAGCGGGTGGGACCAAGGACAGGTAGCCTGGGACAAATACAGAAAAATTATCTGAGTGGCTAGGGATCAGGTTAGGAAAGTGAGAGCCCTCACAGAATTAAATCTGGCCAGGGATGTCAAGGGCAACAAGAAAAGCCTCTATAGGTACATTGGGGATAAAAGCAAGACTAGGGAAAATGTGGACCCTCTCAAAAAGGAAATGGGAGACCTCGTTACACAGGATATGGAGAAGGCTGAGGTACTCAATTAATTTTTGCCTCAGTCTTCACTGGAAAGGGCTCGAGCTACAACCACCCAAATCACTGAAGGTGAAAGCAGGGACTAGCAGAATGAAGAACCACCCACTGCAAGAGAGGATCAGGTGCAAGACCACCTAAGGAACCTGAAGATCCATAAGTCCATGGGACCAGATGAGATACATCTGTGGGTCCTGAGGGAACTGGCAGATGAAGTGGCTAAGCCACTATCCATCATATTTGAGAAGTTATGGCACTCTGGTGAAGTTCCTGTTGACTGGAAAAGGGGAAATATAACCCCCATTTTAAGAAAGGAAAAAAGGAAGACCCGGGGAACTACAGAGCAGTCAGTCTCCCCTCTGTGCCCAGCAAGATCATGGAGCAGATCCTCCTGCAGATTCTGCTGAAGCACATGGAAAATAAGGAGGTGATTTGTGACAGCCAACATGGCTTCACCAAGGGAAAATCATGCCTGACAAATTTAGTGGTCTTCTATGGTGGGGCTACACCATTGGTGGATAAGGGAAGAGCACCTGACATCATCTACCTAGACCTGTGCAAAGCATTCAACACTGTCCCACATGGCATTCTTGTCTCTAAATTGGAGAGATATGGATTTGACAGCTGGACCACACGGTGGATAAGGAACTGGCTGGATGGTCACACCCAAAGAGTTGTGGTCAATGGCTCAGTGTCGTGAGTGACATTCCTCAGGGGTCAGTACTGTGATTGGTGTTAACATCTTTGTGGGATACATGGACAATGGGATTGAGTGCGCCCTCAGCAAGTTTGCCAATGACACCAAGCTGTGTGGCACGGTCGATGTACATGGGATGGGAAGGGTATTAGAGAAAGAGTTAGAGATATATGGGTGGAGTGAGGAGGGCTATTATGGCAAAGATGGGACAGTCGTAAAATACATGCCTTGTGTCAAAATAGGGAAATTGCTCAGCTTTGGCGAGTGCTTCTCCTTGACACTCATTCCCACACACACATTCATGCTGCCAAATGAAACACATGGAAATACTGGATGTCTTAAAACAGAAATAGCAAGAGAGATGACAGGACAAAAGTAAAACCTATTGATACAAAAAAGGAATGGATGATTTGCCCCAGTGTATGAGAACGATAAAGGCATCAGTTTTCTCTGCAATATCTTGAAAATAATTAGCAGATTTTTTTCCTGTTTTTTTCAATGTAAAAGAAGTATTATGAACTATTATTATTGGAGTGGGTCCAGAGGAGGGCCACAAAAATGATCAGAGGGCTGGAACACCTCCTGTATGAGGACAGGCTGAGAGAGTTGTAGTTGTTTATCCTAAAGAAGGGAAGGCTCCAGGGAGAACTTATAGCAGCCTTCCAATACTTAAAGGGGGCCTACAGGAGAGACGGGGAGGGATTCTTCATCAGGGAGTGCAGCAACAGGACAAGGGGCAATGGCTTTAAGCTGAAAGAGGGTAGATTTAAATTAGATATTAGGAGGAAGTTTTTTAGTTTGAGAGTGGTGAGGCACTGGAACAGGTTGCCCAGGGAAGCTGTGGATGCCCCATCCCTGGAGGGGTTCAAGGCCAGGCTGGATGAGGCTTTGAGCAACCTGGGCTAGTGGGAGGTGTCCCTGCCCATGGCAGGGGGGTTGGAATTAGCTGATCTTTATCATCTTCTCTCTGATAAACCATCCCATCTGTCTCAGCCTTTCCTCATATGTGAGGTGCTCCAGTCCTTTCATCATCTTTATGGCCCTTCATTGGCATCCCCAGTATGTCCATGTGTCTTTTGAACAGGGGAGCCCAGAACAGCACTCCAGGTGTGGCCTCAGCAGTGCTGAGTAGAGGGGAAGGATCCCTTCCCTCGACCTGCTGGCACTACTCTGTCTAATGCAGCCCAGGGCACCATTCGCCTTCCTTGCAGTGAGGGCACATTGCTAGCTCATGTTCAACTTGGTGTTCACCAGGACCATCAGGTCCTTTTCTGCAAAGCTCCTTCCCAGCTGGGTGACCCCCAGCACATGCTGGTGCATGGGGTCGTTCCTCCCTGGGTGCAGGACTTTGACCTTCTCCTTGTTGATCTTCACGAGGTTCCTGTCAGCCCATTTCTCCAACCTGTCTCTCCCAGAACAAGCACACACCTCAGAACATCTACCACAGACTTGTTGATAATAGTAAATTGGAATACGATATACATATATTAGGATAAATCGGATAAATTGGGAATTAATAGAATGTCTCTTCCTTTCTTGGAACAAAATCTCTGGGCAGAAAAAAAGAGTTTTCCAGGTGTGTGGAAATGCAACATACTGTCCCACCTTTCCCATTTATTGTGGCTTTATGCTGTTCATACTCTTAGCCTGTCTCTGCTCTATTTGAACTGAAAGCTCCTGGTAGTAGGGATTTGTCCACTGCTTGCTCTTGTTGCAGTATGAAACTGCAGCTGTGGAGAGGGAAACATGTTCTTCATTGATTAAATAATAACACACAATTAACCGTATTCCTTTGAGTGCAAAAGTCCAGCCTCTTGACAAATTTGGTTGAAGTTGGCCTATAAAACATGGCATACAGCTGGTTCCTTCCAACAGAGAGAAGCAGTTACAGGGGTACAAACTTTTGTTCCACCGCAGCACTTGATGTTTATTTTCACTGCTGAATTTACAGAAGTTCTAGTCTCATTTCACCTTCTCTCCCACTCATAGCACTGGGATGGAGAAGGAGAGGCTGCCACTGGGAGAAGCCTGTTTATATGTTGCTGGCAGTGAACAGCAGGCTCCATTTTCCCTGGTACTGCTGGCACCAGACAATGGAGATGCAGGGAATGGAAACGAAATCTGATGGTCAGGAACAGAGGAGAACAGCCAGAGATCTGAAGACCCAGCATCTGTTGTTACAAAACTTTTGTTTGCCCTTATGGAACAAATAAGGCAAAGACTAGGGCAGGCAGTATGTCCCAGGTCTCATGTGGTCACAAATAACAGCAATCAAACACATGTGGACTTGGAAGGGATCTACCACTGAGGATAACTCACCCTTTATGGGCAACAAGCCTGTCCCTGAAAAGCACCTTGGTGAGGGTGCAGAAAGGGAAGGTCCTTGGTCTTGTGAAAAGCTTTGGTTTGACAGACAATGATCCACTTGTACCACTGATGAGGTGTTTATGAGATTAAAATGCACATGGGCTTTATCTAGAAGATATCTCACAGATCCATGGAGCAGAAATTTCACAGCTGGAGGCCTGAAAGTGATCTTTCATCAGGACAACACATGTTGCACAGGGCTGTTAGAGAGGATTCTGCAAGAAGAGACACAGAACAAAAGTGAAACAGAGGGAAAATGCTAAGTTTGTCTCCTGGAGGCAAAAAAAAAAAAAAAAAAAATCTGATTTTGAAGGGTGGTGATTTTGAAGGAAGTGAAAGAACCCATCCTCCAAAAGGCAGCTGTTAGAAAACAAAATGTACACCAAAAAAACATATCTACCTGCAGATTACGCATCTAAGTGATTTTGTCATTGTAGAACACAAAGGAGAACCAAACATAGACACAATGCCCTGCAGTGACAGTAATATCCACCAGGATGAGAACAGCAGTGCTGAGATTTTCATGGAAACATGATCACCTCCAAGAATTCGTAAGAACAGAAACCTGGATTTAAGAAGGGAAGTAAACCAAGTGCTTAGAGTACTGACACCTACAGCAAGATCTTGGGTGAGTTTCCCTCCTGGAGAAGTGTTAGAGACTAACTCACTGTGTTAATTGCCATAAAAAGGGCCAGGCAAAGACACTGGACCAAATAATAATTTTTTCCCTTATGCAGAATGCTGAGTTTTGTCTAAGTAAATACTGAGCCAAAGTTCAGGTTCTGGCTTGGGTTGGCACCAGCGAAGGAGCAAAGGGCTGGGTGCTCCCACCCAGTGACACCAGCACTTGGCAGAATGGGTGCAAGGTGCAACCCAGTGAAGTCAAGATGGACAATAAGCTTTTCAGACTGAGTACCTGTGTGCGCAGTGCAAGCACCTAATTCTTGGTCCGAGCAGATAGAGGGAAGCAGAGAGTGAGCAACTAACATTAGCCCTGCTTTTCACAGATACATGCCTTTACAAGGTGTAGTGCAGTAAAAAGTAGACCGCTTTGAGTTCAGTGCCATACAGGTGACAGTAACAAGAAAATCTGCCCAGGAAGAAGATCTCTCTGTTCCTGAGATCTGGCGCAGGAACTCTGGGTCTTCTGGAACACCAGGGAATCTGAATTACCACTGTTGTTTTTAAAGCAAAATTAAACTCACTTGGTGCCACTGGAAATAGAGCCATCTTCCCAAATCCAGCCAGAGCCTGTGCTGTTCCTCAGCCCAATCCAGAAATATTCTGTTTGAATACTCTTGAACGAGTCCCAGAAATGGTGACAAATTATGAAGTGACTAGCGACAGGTAAGGATGATTAAAGAGAACAGAGAGCAAGCTACGTTCCCTGACTGTTCCTTAAGTGCCTGACTTCTCCATCCCTTCTAATCAGGAGGATCAGCCCTGCAGATCACGCCTGCAGTAACAGCTATGTGTACACTCACAAGGATGTAAGCGTGCCTTCAAAGGTCATGGGCAGACTCTTCAAAGAACCTTTCTCAGGACAACATACATGAGCCAACAGCCTCCGGGAGTTTCCGACACAGAGTTTTATGTAGGAGCATATGTTATTAGTATTAATATTAACTCTCTACTATACAGCTAGCTAGCAAGCTAATACAAAGTATTAACAATTAAAGGCAAAATCAGGGCAGGGCAGGACGTGCAGGCACCAACAGACCAGAAAAGCCCAGGACCAAACCTCACTGTATTTTGTACAAAATTTCCTCCTACATGTTGTTGATGTTCATTTCCTTTTGCCTAACCTTTAACTCCTGTTTACTGTTAAAAGGTGAAGCCTGCAACAGAAACTCAGCCGTGAAGTCAATTCCACACACACCCCCCCCCCCCCCCCCCAAAAAAAAAAAAAAAAGAAAGACAAAGACAAGAGAGAGAAGTTTGTTTGCAATGAAGCCCACCAACAGCAACCTTTCAGTGGTATGACTGGGCTGCATCCTTGTCTCCTGCTGCCATAAACAAAGCTTCGGAGCAGACAGCTTCACACAGAAGCATTAACAAAGCTGGCTTGGTAAAATGGTGGGAGTAAGAGTAGCTTGAGGAATCCGAGTGTTGCTGGTGGTTTGGAGGTGACTGTGCTTCCCTGGCAAAGGGAGGTTGAACAGTCACAGCCTTTGCAGCATAAGGCATGTATCACTGGATAGCTAGGAAAGTCTTGCTTATGTGGGGAAGACTGAGCAGGGATAATGGGTATCAATCTAGTAACAGAGGGTAGTCAGAAAACAGCCAGACCAAGGAAGCTTTCTTCGTGCAGTGAAATGGGTAATATGGGAAGGTTAGTATTTCCCAAGGAATCAGGATTTGCCTAAGAAAGTGTAAGAGCATGGTACATACTCCCAGTCGAGCAGATGCCTGGCTGGTTAAGCCCCCCAGAACATCACACAATGCAACTTCTGTCCAGGGACTGGAAACTGTCCACATTTATTGGACCTGAGCTAATAAGCCCTGGCTTGTGCAAAACCAGATCAAGTACTTCTGCTCTACTTAGGCAGACGTGTCTCTCCTCCCTAGTGATCAGCTCTACTCCTTTCTTTAGTGGTCATACATGCCCCTGCCCCCAGTGAGCACCTGCTGGAAAATGAGCAGTGAGTTTCTGATTTCACCAGCACAACTGAGATTTTTTGGCAGAGAGAGGAAGCAAAACAGAAAACAGACTGAGAAATAAATATCCGTGTATTAACACAGGGAGTGGCAAGGGTCACTGAGCAGAAGAAGCTGGAGCAGCTGCAGGGAGGAGAGGCATTGCTTTTGCAAAGGAAGCGTTTCTAGTGGGGACAGATTGGCTTGTAAGCAATGAGTACAGAGACTGCACAGTGCCACAGGCTTTTCCTGTAATAATTCATATCAGCCTTGTTGGGGCTAGGAGGGAAGGTGGAGAGGAACAGTGGAGGAGGCTCTCCTAACATCCTTCATTGGGTAGCTGACAGGGACCCTCACCTCTCCCCTCTCCTCTTTGTTTTTTTGCCTGCTGGGAACTTTTGTGGTATATACTGAAACTGGAAGTGCACTATAACGTTGCAGTCATAAATTCTTCCTCTCCTTTAAAGTCAAAGTATTGCCAGAGTGACAGCACTACTTGGATGTCAACCACTGAGGTATCTGCAAGGAAATGGAAGATTCTCAAAGAATAAGAAAACCATTACCATTTCACTGGTACCACTGATCACCAGGAGATGAGCTCCCTGTGCCTGGCAGGAGTCCTGGCTGGAGCGCCAGTCCTTCCTCTCCTTGGAGAAGAAGTAGCAGCTTCCTCTGTAGGCCACCCACTGCTCAGGGCAGAGTGGGTGACAGTCATCTGTAAGGTGATCAAAATACCAGTTTTCTCTACTGTTAACCAACAGAAAGACACTTGTCAGCAAAAACCTACTGAAGAGCAATGCAGAAAACAAGTCAGGATAAGCATCTAAAAATAACAATGTATGAACATTGAACTTCAGATAGTCTGTCCTATTTCCAAATCTTCATAACAAGAGTCACATACACTCTGGTGCTGGTGCAAACCCCCACCGGGTTTCCTCTGACCTAGTCAGATATCTGAGAACCAAAATTGGCTATCTGAAAGCAGGAGACACTCTTGGTGTGCAAAAAGTGAGGGGAAAAAATTACATCATTCTGTGGGTACAGTGTGATCATGTCACACATCAGGTGATTGGATTTTAAGCAGCAAACTGTAGGCTCTCCCACGTGGTCTAGCACCTTCTGCATGCATGCAAAAGTGTTATAGACCTTGCATATTTGTTCTACAATTTACCACTATAATTACAGCAGAAAAGTCTACAAAAACCTTTCAATAGGTTTCACTGACTTTTGTCACAGGATCTGAAATGGATTGCCTGGGGTCTGCACAAGGAATATATTATTCAAAATATTCTGAGTAGGCAGTGGGTGCTTAAGGCTGGTAGAAACTGAGAACAGTTTCTGGTTTAACCCCATACAACATAGTTCAGGATCTGAGTTCCTGTGGTTAGATGAGTCTCTAGTTGTTCGCTGTTGGATGCTCACCCTCAGCACCCTTTGGTGTACTTACTAATCTTCCAAATCAAAGCAATCCCTAGGACGATTCTCAGTATCCCAAAACCTATAGCCAACCCCAGCACAACTGCTGGCCACAGACGGGGAGCTGTAAAAGAGAAAAGAAACCATAGTGATCAGGAGCCACATGAAAACTGACGCTGGTTTTAGATAGTTTCCTTGTGTCCTAGGCATTTCCATAAGGACCTGAACTATTTAGAGCATCCCTGTCTGGCCACACTCTGCGCATTGTTGTCATCACTGCCCCTACCCAGCTTCCCCCAGGGCCTCCCCACACCCTTGCCCAGTGGCCGAGGGTCCCATTTCAGCTTGGCCATCACTGCCTGAGCTTCCCAGAAGGTGTACCTGTCTCCAGGTCAGCCACAGCTCTGCCCCTGCAGGGCCACAGGAGAGGAAGCACCCCCCAAGTCAGCCAGAGCCCCCCAGGCACCATGTGGCACCTTGCACTGGCAGGAGCCCCCCAGCAAACTCACTCCTGCTTTAGCACTGAAGCTCGGGGTGGAAAAGAGTTGCACTACCACTGCTACCATGTTTCAGCTTAAATGAAAAAATAAATCCTGTCCTCTTGAGCTCTTTGTCCTCTTGCAAAAAGAAAGCCTGTCCCCCAGCACTCTCAGCAACAGGTTCAACCTCAGCATCCTGTTCACAGGCTTCAACACGCAGTTGTGACACTCCCAAGTCAGTCCTACACTCTCATCCACCTGTCCTGTGGCAGTGGCAGGAAGGGAGGGCCAGCCTCAAAGACCTTGGGATGCCCCTCCACACGTTCACCACCATCATCCGCTGTTCACTTGCTGCCAGCATCAGAGGGTGACTCCTTGGGGTGGCCTCCACCATAGCTCAGCACAGCTTCCTTGCAAAGGGTGGGGCAGGGCTGCCATGCAGAGATCTGCTCACGTACAGCACAAAATGTCCATCTCCAGGCTATGCTTTGCTTTCCCATTGTCACCTCCTGGAGGTGAAAGGCATTCACTTTACATAAACTGTCTGAAATCTCAGCACTAAAATCTCTCTCCCAGGTTGAGCAGAGGATGACACTGCCACAGACGAGCTCCAGGGTGGTTTAGTTTGCTTGCTTTATTAATCTCAGCATAACAGCTGCATAGACAACAGGTCTTCTGGGAAGCACTAAATATTCAGCTAATGGTTACAGATATTGAGGAACTCGGGATTTCCCTGTGCTTCTCCCTTAAGCTTATGTACCACATCCTGCTCTTGCAGTGCTCTAGATGCAAATCCAGTGGCAAAGTCCCTGATGGAGCTCATGAAATCTGAGGTCATGTCACAAGACCCAAATAAACATATCTGTACTCCCTAAAAATGCTAGGAGCCAAAGGAGGAAGATGGAGGGAGAGGAAGGCTAGCTTTAATCAAAGACACTACCACAGCAAGTACATCGAAAACTTGGTAGAAAAAGTGCTGTGAGCGGGATGTCATAGCAACAGGATACAAAACACAGGGAATACTGTTCTCTGCTCAAGTAAAGTTATAGTCAAATTAGGTTAAATAACTAACGGCATCAAGAAGTAATGGTAACAGCATCCCCACAGACCAGACAAATACAACTAAATGCATAGGGTTGGAATCACATTATGGGCTTCCAGACAAGGATGGTGGTAGCACTCAAACTGGCAAATAAAAACACAGCAACTGTGAGGGAAGCAGAGTGATGACAAGTGTCAATTAATTGCATTAAATTACATAAATGCCATGTCAGGGCATGGTTCTGAGCCTGAATGCTCAGGCACTGTCAGTAGGCACCTCGTGGAGCAGTGAGCCAGGAAACACAGAATGAGAAGCAGCTGGTGACTGCCCTGAGCCACCCGGCTCACCGTGGCTCCCTCCAGCAGCATCGCTGCCACTGAACACAAATGCACTGAAATTCAACAGAGCCAAGCAACAACAACAAGGCACTGTGGTATAAGAATTTCAAAATTAAAAACTACAGGAAAATTAAGCTTGTCAGAGAGAAACTAAAATGGATGGCTAAAAGAATTAAATATTTGTAAGCAGCAGGGGAGACTTTTTTTAGGATCTCTTGGTGGAGGCTGAAAACAAATGCACATCACACATCAGGAATATTGTGGGAAGGATAAAGAAAGCCAGCGCTAAAACAGAAGGGGAAGGGACTTCACTTAAAAACAGGAATGCATCCTTTAAGCATTAGAAGCTTTGTCCAAATACAGAAAGTAGACCAGATCAATAAATTAATACAAATGAATTAATTTTGATCTTAGAGCAGTTTGCAGGCTCGCCGGTTTTAAGACCAGTTTCTGTCTTACAGCAATATATCTAGACATGCAGTTTTGCTAAAAGAAGTTTCAAAGGTAATGAGTGAAAGCGTGAGGGAGCTTTGTTGTAAGCATCATTCTTCTGGTAGAAAGATCTTTCCTAAGGTAAGGGTTTTGTCATGTTTCCTGAAGCTTGCAGGATCTTCTAGCCTCCCCAATTCAGCAGCATTTATTTACTTTTTAAATCATTATTAAAGAACAAAAATGCATCTCTTTTTAGTTACAAAATAGAGAAAGGCTTTTCAGTTACAACCTACTACTCCTCAGCTTCATCCAAGAGGCCAATGTGAGAAGGGAAGGATCTGAACTGGGTAGCTGTTGTCCCTGCCCGCTCTCTGTTCCTCTTGTAAAGTCACCTTTGGGTCTCTGGTAGCTGACCTGTGTTTTGCCAACAGATTAAGCCTCGACAATGGGAGTCAGCCCAAATTTAAAGGGTAGGGTTGAGCTTCTTCTCTGAAGATTACAACTGAAAACTAAGTAAAAGGGGATAAATATCTGTTGAAACATTTCCTTGTTCCGAGATCACATTTCTGAGGATCTGCACTTCTGTTTTCCTTCCTCTCTCACCTCTCAAAGAAGCTATCTCCTGCATCCTCCAGATGACTGGATTTTAGGGAAAACTGCTTCCAGGACAAGGTGACTCAGATGGCAGTCAGTGAGACTCAAACGTCAGCACTGGGCAAGGAGCTGGTGCCTCCTGGCAACAAACAGAGCAGTTCACCCTCTATTGTTTCAAACCAACTGCAGAAAAAAGGAACTGACTTGACTCAGCATAAAAACAAAATCCCAGGGCACCTGCACAACTAAAGCAGTGGCAGAGTTCAGTTCTTAAAAAATGAAATATGATGCCATTAGATAATATTGAGAGGAAAAAAAGAGAGTGAAGGGGGCAAGTCATATCAAAGTGTTGAAGGTGAATTTGAGCCTCACTTGAACTGCAGTGATCAATGAAGGGAAGTGGTATAAAAATGTTCATAGATCAGGAATTTTATCCCTTGCAAAAGGGAATCTCTGCAGTTCCCCCCTTTTCAAAACAGGTTCAAGGGTTTGTGCTTGATCCTCAACCCCTGGAGTACATGTGAAGCTCCTGTAGAAGAGGAAGGGAGAAGTACCTGAGATGAGTTTGAAACAGGAAATCTGAATGGAGCATCCAGAAATATTTCCATGTAGTTGTCTGAGGAACTGTGGAAGAGTCTTCCCAAGGGAAGGGAAAAGTGGACTGGGGGATATTTAACGTAAATATCCAATGTTATAACTTATATACAAAGTTATAACTTATATACAAAGTTATAACTTATGTACAAAACACTCAGTTCTGTGAGCACTCTGGAGAAATGACTGTGATATGCTGCATTCATCTGCAAGAAACGTGACCCAATATGTTTAGGTTTGGAAGTCTGGATTCAGTTAAAAACTGAAAGCTGCTAGCATTTTATAATTGAAGTCTTCTAGGACAACCTGAAGAATGTCATTGTGCTGTCCCACATAGCTCCCCCCAGCTCCTGCCTTAGGGCAGAATGGGAGCAGTGGAGCAGCGTGACTGCTTAAGGCCAGGGAGGAGGGTTTGAGAAATGAGGATCCTGTCCTCGGCTGTGGCACAGACCTGGTTACTCACTGTTACTGTGTCACACAGGCTAACACTGTCTTAAGTGTCAGCTGGACTGATATTTTGGTAGCGTGGCATATGCAGGACTCTCTGTAAACCAGACATAAGACAGCTAGAACAACTCCGCATTTTCAAGGAGTCGATGAGAGCCGAAAACTGTTGGTTTGACCAGAGGACTGATCTATACAGCTGTGATATACCTGTGACACTGGGTCACAGGGACAACTTGGTAGCAAGGGTGTGCATTTGAAAACAGAGATTAAATACCTGAGAGCACATCTCTCAGAAGTGATGGTGGCAGGGACAGAGTTGAAAATAAAGATCTTCTAAAGAAAGGTGCTTAAACTGCCCTCCTTGGAGACTCCTTGCACACAGAAGAGAGCTGGGACATGACCAAATAATAAGCACAGAAGGTGTGTTCAAAGAGCAGCTTCCTTATTTTAGGCCCTCTGACTTTAGCTCAAAAAGATGAGGGTGCATAAAGGAATTTGGAGAGGAGGAATATTAAAAAGAAAAGTGCAAACATCTCAAGAGGGCATTGGGTAATCCCCAACAGAGTGTGGGTGAACACCAATAGTGGGGAATGAATAGATGTCCCTGTGTTTTCTGATGAAAACACATACAAAAGCAAGATTGCCTTCCAAGCAGATGGAGTGTCATTACCAGACAGGAACTTAGGGGTTTCTGTGCTGGTTTCGTTTCCATAGTGCAGCAAGTGACCAGGCAGCAGGAACAACCACAGATGTATGCAATTATTCTGATCAGGGCACAGCAATCTCATATCCCAGCCTGAGAGCCCCCTTTGCTGTAACAGCTCTGAAAAAACACTAAGGTCAGCCATCAGTGTTGCAGCCCACCCAACACAACTCATCTAAAGCACATGGGCATTCAGAGGAAAAGCAATCAGCTCATGGGAAGAGACTTTTAAAGAATGATCACCAATGCAAAATCTCACTCTTCTACAGCAGTATTTCTCAACAAAGCAGGCAGAGAAATTTCTCAGTGTGACATTTGCCAGGCCTGAACAGGTGGAATAGAGCAGAAATAAGGGAGGAGAAAATTTAAGGAAAGCGCTAAGAAAACCTTGCTGATAGTAAAATGCCGTGCAGGACTACCTCAAGGCAAAGCTGAAAATTTGCTCACTGGGAGGTATATAAAACTAGAACACAGAAAACACAGGAAAAAATGTGTCACAAAAGAATCCTGCAGAGTCCCATGGGAGACAGACTGGATGATCTCATATGCCTCCTCTGTCTCTGATCTCTGATTAGCATACGCCTCTAATTTATCTGTATCACATCTCTCCTGCCCTTCAAGGAACTATTGCTGACAATCTTTTATTGCTGACAAGCATTAGGGTTAGGGTTAAAAATTTACTTTAAAATTGTAAACCTCTTTTGGAGAAAAGGGTGCCTGGGTTGAATGCCCAGGAGCAGACACTGAAAGGGGTCTGATGGAGAGAGGGAGAGGAACAATGCTGGGTCTCTGACCCATCAGCTTTTACCACAATTAAAATACTGCAATTTTAGAATCAAAGCAACAGCACTGTGAGCTGGTACTCAAAGTCAGTGGCCAGCTCAGAGTGTTTTTGTTAGATCTTGCTTTCACTACAAACAAAATCTTTTCTTGACCTACCTCATCCAGCTTCCTTACCTCTCCTTTCCCATCCAGCTTTGGCCCATGGTGGAGGAGTCTGAGAGAATCTGACAGAAGTATAACTTTTTTCCTCACTCGCTTCTAATGCAAAAATTTCTGATCTGCTTCCCTCCATGCCAAAGCAAAGACAGGGTATGATAAGATGTTTCAGTCAAGCTGTTGAGCGACAGGGCTTAACGCCTGTGAAACAGAAAACCTAAGGCTACATTCAGATGACAAGAAATGTGAAGTTGCAACTTTTATCTCCATCTGCTCAAAAATAACCAAATTTACAACAAAATGGAGAGCACTGGAACTGCAACAACTTCCATTTCCTACGTCTTAAAAACAGCTGTTAGTGGAAGGGGTGATAAATCACAAAGTGTATGGGTATTCTAATCCTTGCCAATGCAAGAGGCTGTGATTAATTACACTAATTGTGATAATGTGTGTCACTCTGAAGAGCTCCCTATCAGGACAGAGGCAGGTGGATAGCAAGAGCATAAGGTGAGAAAGGTGAATAGTGAGAGAACAAGGTGAAAAGTGGGAAAAGCAATGGCTATGAAAAACTGGCATCCCAACTGCTGTCAAAAGGGAAGCAGAGGTGGACAGCATGGGTTTGGGAAGAAAGCCTTGTGAGCTTTGAACAGTTCTACTGGGAACCCCATCTACACTGAAATTTTAACTGAAAGAGTGGTCAGACATTGGAACAGGCTACCCAAGGAGGTGGTTGAGTCACCATCCCTGGAGGTGTTCAAGAAACGTGTAGATGTGGTGCTTAGGGACATGGTTTAGTGAGTTAGGTGGTGGGGGTTGACGGTTGGACTTGATGATCCTTGAGGTCTTTTCCAACCTTAATGATTCTCTGATTCTACACCCAACACCCAGTGTGAATGTGCTTGAGACACAGGCAGGCACAGACCTGGCATCCCTCAAGACCCTCTGAGTCAATATCTCAACAGCATCAGTACAAGAGAGACATGGACATACTGGAGAGAGTCTAGCAAAGGGCTAGACAAAGATGATGACAGGAGCATACCACCTATGAGGAAAGGCTGAGAGAGATGGGACTTGTTTAGCCTGAAGAAGATACATCTTAGGGAGGATCTTGTTAATGTATTAATGTATATAAATGTATATACATACCTGAAGGGAGCATGCAAGAGCCAAGCTCTTTTCAGTGGTGTCCAGTGACAGGGTAAGAGGCAATGGGCACAAACTGCAACACAGGAGATTCCCTCTGAACATCAGGAAACACTTTTTTACTGTGAGGGTGACTGAACACTGGCATAGGTTGGCCAGAGAGGATGTCCATCCTCGGACAGCCATCTGGACACAGTCCTGGGCAACTGGCTGTAGGGTGGCCCTGCTTGAGCAGGGGGTTGGACCAGATGACCCTGAGAGGTCCCTTCCAGCCTCAACCATTCTGTGACTCTGTGGTCAGCAATAACAGGAAAGGATAGTTTTCTTCTAAAGTAGCAAAGATTGACCACTGGTGAGAATGGTGGGTAGTACTGATGCTTCCAGCATCCAAAAAAACCTCCTAGCTGCAGGATTTTTGTTTTGATCCAGATTCTGGTCCCTTCCAGTTCATACTCAGATTGGAGATGTTTGCCAGGGTCGGGATGTACATCTTCCTCACTGGTACAATTCATTTACAAGAAATGCCTGGGCATTCTCAACAAAGGAGTTTGCCATGGTTTTCAGTTCTAGGACAGGGATGATTGCTCCCTGTCCTGGTGACATGCTGTAAATCTGAGAAGTGATTGTCAGGGAGGATGCTTGGTTTTACGTAGAGTGTTGTGGCTGATTGGTTACAATGCACATGCCTGGGAAGGTGTGGATTGGATATTTCTGCAAATCCCTCCATCACACGCTTGCCTCTAAGGGTGACACAATGCACCCACAAGATTCCTTCCAAACTTGGGTAGGGCCTGTAGGCAGCAAGATAGGGAATCCGTACTTGAGAGGAAGAGGAAGGCAGAAGACAGCAGAGCAACACAAGAACAGGGAAGTCTCCCCTGAATGCTTTGAATGGATATCAGAAAAGTCAAAAGACAGCTGCCAAACTCAGAGAGGGACAATTTGCTATAGTCGTGATGAGAGCTTAGCTGGGAATATAATATGTGTGGCTGGAAAGAAACAAACGAGATTCAGACACTGCTGAAGTGCCCAGAGCAAGGGGAAAAGTCTGTGGCCAAAGGCACTGCAGGCTGCCTTCAGGGCCAGTGTGATCACAAAGATGGTGTTATTTGTGAACAGGTGGAGAAGTGAAGGCTGGTGGGGAAGAATTAAGAGCTCTGTTTTGATGTGTTTTACCATTTTCTCTGAAATATCAGCAATAAGCTGAGTTCTTAGTTTGGACAGGAAATGGAGAGGAAGTGATCCCACTGTAGGACAGTATGCAGGCAACACACTGTTAATAGCTAAATAAATCTGACATCTCAGCTGAGATGTCTGTACCATACTCCCAGCGGAATCAGCAGTAGGACACAAATCACAGCAGGACTAAATCAAACAGTTTTCCAGAAGCCAACAATATTCACTCCCAGTTCCTCACTACTGAAGCAGTATATCATAGTGAAGCCTCCCATACTCTTCTCAAACAAGTGGCTTCTCTAGCATGTTGACAAGTTCACTAAATCCAGCATTTATTTCTTAACTCAAAGGTGCAAAAGCCTCAGAGCTCTGGCAAAGAACATCTGCCCCTTCCGATAACAGAGCCCTGGAACATGGGCTCTCTAAACCCACTGTGTGTGCATGACTTAAGAAATGTCCTTTAAATTTACCAGTCTCAAATAATTTGCAGCTTTATTAATCATACTCAAGATGCTCAAGTCCACCAACCTTGCGCATGATCACCTGGAATGCCTTTGCAGCAGCACAACTTGCAAGGACTGGAGGAGACACCTTTATTCTGAAGTATAACAAAACACCATGTCAGGGGGCACCAAATCAGAAGGATCAAGGCCACAAAGCGGTTTGACAAACTGTCTCCCTTGCCTGTTTAACAAGAAGTCCCTCGGGAGGGGGGTTGGCAAAGTCCCTGGGCAGTGGTGACCTACTGCCCTCAGCAGAGGGAACAAGAGGAAAGGCAGGCCACGGCTCGACGATGCTGGGAAGTGTTTCACTTTTACTGACGCGTTCACTGTGATCTAAACCTAGGTGAGAGCTCGGCTTCAAGGTGGAACAGTGCATTGGGTCTGGCTCAGATGGAGCTAACTTTCCCCGTAGCAGCCCTCACAGCACTGTGTGCCGCACTGGTAGCTAGAAAGGCGCTGGTAACACCCGTCCTTTGGCTGCTGCTGAGCAGTGCTCACACAGCACCAAGGCTGCCTCCCCAACACCCCAAAGCCAGCAGGCTCAGGGCCCCGCGGGTGGGCAGGATCTCGGGAAGGGACAGAGCCAGGACAGGTGACCCCAGCTGAGGCAGTGGCTATTCCCCGCAGTATGATGTCTGCCCAGCAATACAAGCTAAGGGAAGGGAGGAGGAGGGGGACATTCATTGATATGACGTTTGTCTCCCGGAGCAACCACTCCGTGTATTAAAGCCCTGCTTCCCGGGAAGCGGCTGGACAACGTTTGCTGATGGAAGAAGAGAATCAAATCTTTTGTTTTCCTTGGCTTCCGCTCGCGGTCTTGGCTCTTTGCTTTATCTTAACCCACGAGTTTTTTTCCGTCTTATTTTCCTTTCCCCTTGTTCTGCTAAAGAGGGGAGTGACCGAGCAGCTCGCTGGGCCCCC